TAAAATTTAAATACTGTACTATTTTAAATTCAATTCCAAGTATAAGACCTAATAACTAGAGCTCCAGCCCATAAAACGTCGCCGTTTTTCTAGTATATATTATAAAACGTATTTATGGTGGTTTATATGTGTTTATTATATGTTATATATTTTCTAAGGTTTGTATATAAAATTTCTAACGCAAAATTTTTCACGCTAGGGTTAGTATTTAGGATTAGAATTAAGGTTTGGAAGGTTTTTTTTTTGGACATAGAACATTTTTACTTAGAACACCTCGTACCGATTAATTAGCCAGTTTTAGTAAAAGTCATGTTTTTTATATACTGTATATATTTTATATAAAAAATTTTGTTTGGCTTTATTTTTTATTTTTATAAAGAATTTTAAAAGAATTAATAGTTTTTACTTTCTGTTTAAAACACTATATATGGGTTTTTTTCTTATTAAAAAATGCAAAAATAAAAAAAATACTTTAAAAAATACTAAAAAAGTATTAATAAAAAAAAAAATTTAGAAAATACTAAAAAAGTATTAATGGGTTCGTTTTTTTTTTGCATTATACAGTAAACATGATATCTAATCAATAGATTAAATCTTTTTGTATAAATGTTAAGTAGTGTAATAATGAATTACCGTTATGTACAAGTTGGCATAGAGAATTCATGTCAAATAATGGAAAATAATTGAAGAAATGACGTACATACGTAGGTTGATTCTATATTAACTAGAATCAATAAATGACTCATTAAAACAAAAAAAAGCCAACCCAAAAAAAGTAGAGAGAATGCATTAACAAAAGACGCGCATTATCTTATTTACTTCATATATTAATATGGCTAGTAATTTAACGATGGAAACATTATTACAAGTCAAGTTAGTATTTGAGAACAAAATTGTTCAATAAAATACTGATAAATTTGATAAATTGAATGTATTATTCCAGAAAGAAACTTCTTTCAATGAACGAATTTCATGTATTTCATTGATTAATCTTGATAAATAAAATTTTGTAATAATAGTCTAACGATTGTTAATTGTAAAAAAGCAACCTTCATACAATAGTATAAAAAAATACATATATGCATGTATAAAGGCAAACTCTCGATAAAAAAAGCATGCACTACAAATTAAAGTCAAATTAAAGTAAAATTAAAGTAAATGCACTATGACAAAATGTAACATTAAGATTTGAAACACATTTAACGCCAAGTAAAAATTAGATATTGGGGATAACATTCTCAGATACTAAAATATATATTATTTCTGAACATCATTCCTATTTAAAAGATATATTTAAAAAAATCTTTGTAATTTGAATTGAATGACTTTAAATTAATATATTTTATAAATCATGTGACCAATATAAAATACGGAGTTTTAATACATCCCCTATTTAAGTTAGAAGTTAGATATGGCAACCCTTTGTTAAACGGATAATACATAGTAAATTAAAATTCCATGCACGTTAATATTTTTAGAGTCTGATTACGATTATCGGTTATTGTTTATTTTAATATATACGTTATTAGTATTATTACATTTTTTTGTCACGTGTTTGGTTAACGACGCGTAAGAGAGTACTATTGAAACTATTGAAATGTATGAACGCTTAACAAAATTTTCATTTTCTTTTTATTTGAAATTTTTTGTCTTAAACTCGAAAAAAAGTATCTTTTTGACACCATGAAAAAGAAAGTCATATGTCATATAAAAAAGGGTTGTAATATCGAGCTCAAAATAAAATTAAATGCTAATTGAACCATGAACATATGAACTTGAGAAAAAAAAATGAACAAGAGATAAAAGAAATATTTACAAAGAATGATTTGCATGAGGGAAATTGTACTCTTAAAAGCATTATATCCCAATTTTTAAAACCAATTATTTAAAAAAAAAAAAGAAATGATAAAAGGCTCAGCCAAAAGCAGAAAACAAAATTGTATATTACATATCGTTATGATGAAAAGAAACAAAAAAGTGTGTTCTAATGTTCTAATTGAGCATCGATATATATATATATATTTTTTACATAAGTGACTATAAAAAAATAATTGTAAGGGAAATAATTGAAAGACACAGAGCAATGCAAAAGATAAACTAGTTATATGACAACACTTCTAATAGACGTAAACGTATCACATTGGTGGAGCAAGATTCGATTCTAAATTGAGTTTTGAGTTTTTATGTTAGCCTAAAAGGAAAATCGCGAAGGAATTAATAAAATTCCCATCGATCCCATCGCACACATGAAGGAAGATAATCAGCACGAGAGATATTACCAATTTTTGCTAAAGACAACTAAATTATTAAAAATAATAAAGATTAATTATAAAGATTAATTATAAGATAAACCAAATTATATAGATACTGAAAAAAGACTTACAAGAATTTCAAATAAACTAATTGGATCTTTAGATTGTGTGTCAGCTTCCCTGTTATTATTGTTATTATTGTTATTATTGTTATCAGGTACATTATCAGGTACATTATCAGGTACATTGTCAGGTACCAAGACTTCATTGGACTTTTCAGATTCAGTTTGATTTGCATCAGTTGTCTTATTTCCAAAGAAGTTGTCACCAAATATTTTAGTAAGAAAATTAATAGCTGGAGACTTATCAACTCTGGCAATAGTTTGAACGGATTTAGTATTATCCAATTGCTTCAATAATTTGATGGAAGGACTATCCAAAGTCAAGTTGTTATTGTTATTATTATTGAAAGTATTTCCTTCGGCGTTTTCATCGATTTTGTCATTAGATTGTGAATTAGGAAGCGGAGAAAACATGGCGAAACCTTGCTTTTCAAAATCGATCACCGAAAGCGAGGCAGTTGTTGGAAGAGAAAGTCGCTTAAAAGACTTTGGGAGATCTTTTGAATTGTCATTTTCACACATTAAAGAATACCTCCATAAATTGGGTTTATACATGCTTGATCGTCTTGAATTTCTTTTTGAAGAATTTGTAGAAGTAGTAGAATAAGTAGAATTAGATGTCGGAGAAGAGCTGAGTGGAACATTGCTGTTAACGTATTCTTGATATTCTTTCAAGAATTTTTCAACGGTTGGAGAGATAGGTTCATCACTCTCATCCGTTTCAGTTTGCAGAATATCAGCCAAGAAATCTAGATATTCGTTTATATCTTTATATAATGTTTTCGCATTGTCAACTTCATCTACGTTGTTCGAAATCGAAGTAGTCATTTTTATAATATTTGTTTTTATAAGTGGTTTTCGTGAGAACGTAAATTTTAAGTGATATTGATTGTTTATATATTTTATAAGAAATTGGATCTTGAGAAAATAAATCAATAATTATTTATTTATTCCTGGGTAAAAAAAAAAAAAAAAAAAAAAAAAAAAAAGATAACAACAATAAAAATAATAATAAAAAAGAATATCTACAGCATATAAGTATAAGTATATGATAAGTATATGTATATGTATATATATATATAATGATGTAAATTATTATATGTATATAATTAAATATATAGATATAATTGAAGGATTGTTTCGCACAACGAAAATATGCTACTTCATATAATCCTTTCTTTTTTTTACATCACTTAAAGAGAGAGGGCCTTTGAGACAATGCGGTGCATAAGCACGCCTTGAAATTCTTTCGAAAAAGGGGCTGATGCGGTTTTTATGTAAATTCAAGGCTTAGTTCCATTTGGGCAATGTTATATTTTTTTCGTGTTATTTTGTTATTTTGTATTTGTACGTAAAAAAAACGAGATTCTTATCCCGTTTTTGTCAATGTATCACTACTGTTTTTATCAGATATACTTATTTTTTTGATTTGAATTATAGATAATGCATATCGATATAGTCGACCTACACTTATATTGTTCAATATATAAAATAATTTCGTCAGTTAATATATATATATATGTGTGTGTGTGTATATACAAACATACAGATATACAGATATACAGATATACCGATATACAGTAAGATGTATTTTATCTTTTAAATACTATCTAAAGGTTAGGTTCGACCGGCTATGATTGACAAAAGATTTTTTACCTTTATTCGTATTGTCACACCTACTAAACCAATACCACCACTTTAGTTTAATTGCAAGTATATCAATTTTGACATTTTTTAAAAAAAAAATTGTAATCGTTATCCTAAAAGGTCTTTATTATGTCGTAATCAAACGTTAAATTTAATTTTCAGAAGACATCATTATGTATCAGGTTTACATTCATCGACATTAACTGTGGTAGCTGTGAAACTGCATCCATCGTTGCTATACTCTTTAAATATATCAAATACAGAAATATAGTAACAAATAACTTATTTATCTATACTATATTTCAAATTACACTATTGTAATATTGGTATTGATAATTCTTACAAAAAAAAAGAACGAAACTAGATAAAGAATAGAATCTCCCGCTTTCAAAACCAGTTAATTATTAGGACTTTCAATCGTGGAGTTGATTTAACCACGCATGGCATATGTCACGTGCAGAGTTGCCAAATCTCCAGTTTCAGCATATCATTGTAATGCTAGTCTTTTTTCGTATAGCAGTATAGATTATAGATGTTAGCTTTAGGATGTTCAACGTACGTAGAATGTAAGATGTGCATAACAGATAAGTACGTACGAACGTACAAATCTGTTACTCCGTTGCAATGCTCCGTAATCAGTTATCCTAGCATTTATCTCGAAGTTTCTTCTATTTATTCAAAGTAAATATTTATCTTCTTTTTTTTTTAACCGAAACTTTCCGGAAATTTCGCACGAACAAAAGTAAATACCTGAATATAGTTATTTATGTATGAGAAGAGATAAACAAAGAATTTTTTGACATATAACGATAATACTTCATTGTAAAATGCTAAAATTGTCATCTACGTGTGTACGGACGTACGAATTTATAAGTTTGTTTCATCCCCCTTTGTATTTCTGTATTTGCATTTAATGTTACAAATGTTAAAAAAAAAAAAAGTTTTAGTTTTCCACTCTTTTCTATTCTATTACTATTCTATTACTGTTATTAGCAAATTTCTATTTATTTTTTATTATTTTATTTTTTATCATTATCTTTAAGCTGTTAAAAAAAAAATTGCCAGAATGTAAATGTATGCCGTACATTTGATTTTTGATTTGCTCGGGACGTACTTACATATAGGATAACTTTCTCGTGATTGGTCGATCACACAAATTGAATATCATGCCATGATTGGTCACTTTGCAGATC